GATAATCTCATTATCAAGATAATATCTAAAAAAAGATTATCACTAGAATTTAATATATTAATATAAATTTATTTCTTGTTTTAAAACAATTAATAACTCATCCACACACTTAAAAAGTGTGAATAAACAATATATATATTACTATTAAATAAAAAATATATAAAAAATTTAAAAATATAAATTGGAATTGTATGGGATACAACAATTTTTAAAAAAGGTAGAACATCCACATGCTTATTACACACTGCACTAAATAAATAATACATTAATATTTTAAATAAATAAACAATCATTTATAATAAATTATAAACATAAAATAAAAAAACTTAATTAATTTATTATTCAAGAAACAAACAAACAAATTAAAAGAACCATATGTTTTATTTGGTAACTTAAAAATTACTGGTTGATTGCTTAGTATACTGTAGTAGTTATACACATATATAGATAAGGATTGTACCGGACACCAGAATTACCAGATTACCCTAAACGTATGAGATAGAATAATTTTTAAAAAAGTATGGACATCCTATACGCTTAGAAACACCTATACCCAAATAAATAAATAATTAATGCTTCAAAATAAATTTATAATAAATCATAAACATAAAAAAACATAATTTTATTTCAATGACACAAAAACAAATTAAAAAAAAAAACTTCATTTTTGTTGGTAATAAAAAGCACATCGGTTGATTAGATTAGTGTATGAATTAATCTCATGTACTAGGAGCTAGGTAGCATGAATACAGGGCACGAGATACGATAATTTTTTAAAAAATAGGACATCCATACGCTTAGAACACATTACACTAAATAAGTAATACATTAATATTTCAAATAAATAAACAATCATTTGTAATAAATCAGGAACATAAAAAATACTTAATTTCTTATTTCAATTATTGCAACTTTTCAGTATATTTCAATGAGATACAATTTATCCTTTTATTATATAATTTTATTATTTTTGAATGATGTTATAAATATTATTTCATCCTTTAATATTATTCCGCGCATCACGCAGGTTTTAACACTAGTTGTATCATAATATAACTAATGACGAAGATAATCTGGACTTAATTAGATTTGAAAATGAAACATATTCAACAAATCAATCAGCATAAAACTTTGCCTTATAAAAACTAGCTATGAGAAATAGAAAGACTCTAAGTAATTAATCAAGTTGGAAGAAATTCTAGATTGATAGCAAACCGAAACAGGAATTAATAAAATTTTACCTTTGACAAGCTTTACCGGTAACAAATTATAATTTTCAATATAAATTTTGGTAAAACCCTTTGAATAAGCAAGCTTAATATCACAGACAAATTCCGTGACCGTGTTAGGCCCTTATGAAAGAGCGTACCAGGCTGCGTTTCAACCTGCAAGGGTTGGGGCGGCTTAGCGATTAAGGCGTTGTTCCACCCTAATGGCCCTTACCCCATGCAAAGTGTGCATGTAGGCGGGGTATTGTGCCGTAGGGCACAACTGGTCGGGAGCTGGGCCGCTCCCCTGATGAGCCCATGGCAGGGCGATACCAGTGTGGTACGGTATGGCAAGGCTTGCCTCGGAGCCAAAGGACCAGCATTGGGAAGGCTCCCGGGGCGCCGCACGGGCGCAGTGCTACGCAAGACTCCAGGCCCGTGACATTAAGACCTTCAAATATAACCCATACTTCAACACAAACCAGTTTCCAAATGATTAGATAGCGTTAGAGAAGTATCAGTCATTAATTTTGATCGTCTAACCCAGGAGCAAGCCACTAAATCCATGGCTCAACATAAATACATAATTGATCAATTTTGATTTGACAAAATCAATGTTTAAAGAAGTGGATCAGTCATTGAATCAGCATAAGGCAAACCAGTTTTCTGAATGAAAGAGTCCAACTGAATTCAATATAGTTCAACTAGAATTACTGTTTCGTCCCTGCTTATTCACATTGGCTAGACCAGGTCCAAGGCTTCAATTATAGACAAAATAAATAAAACTAAAAATTCTTTAAAAAATATCAATCAGGTTATTGAGTTGGTCTTTTCACTTGTGTGAGAAATATGAGATTTTGAATTTAAGTCCTCTCAACCATAATATAAGGGAAGAATACCCTTTCCAATGGATAAAAAAAACAAGTGGAGTGTTTACTTACTGAAAATAGAAAATAATTTTCTGTTTTCTAAGAAAACAGTTTTCTTAGAAAATGAAAATTAAAAAATAAAAAATGGAAAATGTCGCCACTTGGTAACAATATAAAATTATATTTTACTTTAAAAATTTCACAAACATTATTCATAACTTTCATAACTAAAATAAGATATTATAACTAACTTTAGAAATTTTTTATTTAAAATTTTTTTAATTTTTATTATCGATTATTTATAAATTAATAATCAATAATATATAATATAATAATAATACATAAATAATAATATAATTTTTAATAAATTTATTTTCTTTAAAAAATAAAATTAATTATATATTAAAGTATAATATGATTTTTTTTTGTTATTTAAATATTTTTATTTATTCAATAAAAATATTTTATAGAAAAAATGTATAGATATTATAACTTCAATTATAAAAATGTCATTTTATAAAATGAAAAACAGATGAAAAACATGTCTTTTGTTATAAAAGAAAATTGAGAAAAATAACTCAAAGCTGTTTTCTAAATCTTAGTTAAATTTTGAAAAATTGAAAAATTGTTTTTAGTTCTTTCAAATAGAAAGTTGATTGAAAGATTTTTTAAAAGTGCACCTTTAAACATGGCAAAATTTTTAAAAAGCGCAATTATAAGCCTAAGATTTTTTAAAAGTGCATCTTTAAATATGGTAAAAAATTTTAAAAAGCGCAATCATGAGCCTAAGATTTTTTAAAAGTGCACCTTTAAATATTGCAAAAACTTTTAAAAAGCGCAATCATGAGCCTAAGATTTTTTATAAGTGCACCTTTAAACATGGCAAAGATTTTTAAAAAGCACAATCATAAGCCTAAAATTTTTTAAAAGTGCACCTTTAAACAAATGAAAATATTATCAGTAAAATTTTTCTTTTTCTTTTTTTTGTCTGGACCTAAAATTTTTCTTATAAATATAGACTTGCCTTTATCTCATACAAGCGATAACATCCAACATCTGAAAAAACGTTCACCTAATTCTATTGGTTGTTATTATTATTATCATTGTACTGTATAAGGATAAGAAAGCTTTGGTCTTGGAGGATTGAGAGCCATTTGCCAGTTTCATTCGACCAATTATCACTACTTACAGCCATCCCTCTTTTGTTTCAATCTTTCCCGCAGGTCCTAAGAGGTATATGGATATAATATGATATTTAAAGGATATATTAAATAAATATGTATTAATATTCTATTCCCATTGAAAAAAAAAAATTAGAAAAAAAACACATTCCCATTTTTATTGTTGGGGGGAGATAATAAAAAAAAACAATTGATTGATTAGCCCTTGGTATATGAAGTAAGTTTATATACAAGAGTAGGCTATCAAGACAGGAAAATAAGATAATTTTTTGAAAAATGGGAAATCATGTTAGAAATATTACACTAAAGATATAAATGTATAAATTAATATTTCAAATAAATAAACAATCATTTATAATAAATCATGAACATAAAAAATACTTAATTTCTTATTTTAATCATTTCAACTTTTCGACGTATCTAAATGAGATACAATTTATCATTTTATTATTTTTGAATGATGTTATAAATATTATTTCGTTTTTTAATATTGTTCCGCGCATTACGCGGGTTCTAACACTAGTTATATCATAATATAACTAATGTCAAAGATAATCTGGACTTAATTAGATTTGAAAATGAAACATATTCAACAAATCAATCAGCATAACATTGATGTAACAAAATCAATGTTTTACGAGGTGGATCAGTCACTGAATCAGTAAAGGCAACGAGTTTACTGAATCAAAGAGTCCAATTGGATTCAATACAGTTCAACTGAAATTACTGTTTTGTCCCTTCTTATTCACACTAAATAATTAGGAAAATATGTGGTTAAACCAGGTCTATGGCTCCACCTATGGATCAAACAAATAAAACTAAAAATTTCTTAAAAAATGTCAATCAGGTAATTTGGTTGTTTTCTCACTTGTCTTGTGTAAGGAATATGAGATTGAGTTCAAGTCCTCTTGACCACAATATAAGGGAAGACTACCCTTCCCAATGGATAAAAAAACAAAGAGTGCGTTTACTTACAGAAAATAATTTTCTATTTTTTGTTTTCTAAGAAGACAGTTTTCTTAGAAAATGAAAATTAAAAAATAGAAAATGGAAAATGCATCACTTGGTCACAATATAAAATCATATTTTAATTTGAAAACTTCACACACGTTATTCATAACTTTCATAACTAAAATAAGATATTATAACTAACTTTAGAAATTTTTTATTTAAAATTTTTTTAATTTTTATTATCGATTATTTATAAATAATAATAATATAATTTTTATCCATTTTGTAAATTTTTTTTAAAAATAAAAGATATAACTAATATTTGTAATAATTAAATTAATTTTATTAAAGTATAATATATTATAATTTTTTTGTTATTTAAATATTTTTAATTATTCAATAAAAATATTTTATAGAAAAAAAAATTTATAGATATTATAACTTAATTATGAAAATGTCACTTTATAAAATGGAAAACGGTTGGAAAACATGTCTTTTGTTAGAAAGGAAAACTGTGAAAAACAACTTAAAGCTGTTTTCCAAACCCTAGTCAAATTTTGAAAAACTGAAAAACTATTTTTAGTTTTCTAAATAAAAAAATGACTGAAAGATATTTTAAATGTGCACCTTTAAACGTTGCAAAAATTTTTAAAAAGAGCAATCATAAGCCTAAAATTCTTTTAAGGCGCACCTTTAAACAAATGAAACTATTATCAGTAAAATTTTTCCTTTTCTTTTTCTTTTTTTTTTTTCTGGACCTAAAATTTTTCTTATAAATATAGACTTGCCTTCATCTCATACAAGCGATAACATCCAACATCTGAAAAAACGTGCACCTAATTCTATTGATTGTTATTATTATTATTATCATTGTATTATATAAGGATAAGAAAGCTCTGGTCTTGGAGGATTGAGAGCCATTTGCCAGTGTCATTCGACCAATTATCACTACTTACAGCCATCCCTCTTTTGTTTCAGCTAACCATGGCCACTATCTTAGCAGGTCTAAGGAGGTATATGATTATCATTATATTCTATAATACCCTCCAGATATTTAAAGATATATTAAATAATATGTATTAATTGCAGGCTAGAAGGCAAGGTGGCTCTAATCACCGGAGCTGCTAGTGGCATCGGAGAATGCACGGCAAGACTCTTCTCCAAACATGGAGCTCAGGTGGTAATTGCCAGCTCAGGTGGTAATTGCAGATATACAGGACGAGTTAGGCCACTCACTTTGCAAAGAAATAGATAGAGATGGCAAATACTGCTCATTTGTCCACTGCGACGTTACTAAAGAAGAAGACGTGGAAAATGCTCTTAACTCTGCTGTTTCGAAGTATGGTAAGCTGGACATTATGTTTAACAATGCAGGAATAATCGGGGTGGCCAAACCCAACATTCTTGACAATGAAAAAGCTGAATTTGAGAAGATAATTAGTGTGAATTTAGTAGGTGCTTTCTTAGGAACTAAACATGCAGCTCGTGTAATGATCCCTAATCGAAAAGGAAGTATAATTACAACTGCAAGTATTTGCTCCACAATTGGAGGAGTTGCATCTCATGCTTACACCAGTTCGAAGCATGGAGTGGTAGGGCTTATGAGAAATACTGCAGTGGAATTGGGGCAACATGGGATTCGAGTAAACTGCGTTTCGCCATACGTAGTTAATACTCCACTTGCAAGGGATTTCTTCAAGCTGGATGATAATGGAATTTATGATGTTTATTCTAATCTTAAAGAAGCTGTGCTTCAACCGGAAGATGTGGCTCAGGCTGCTCTTTACCTGGGGAGTGATGACTCCAAGTATATTAGTGGCCATAATATGATAATAGATGGGGGATTCACTATTGTGAATCCAGCTTTCTCTATATTTCCACAATCTATCTACCATAATATGATAATAGATGGGGGATTCACTATTGTGAATCCAGCTTTCTCTATATTTCCACAATCTATCTAATTTTTTTCAGAACTTCTTTCGGTTTGTATTTCCTTCTTTGCCTAATTAATAATATGATAATAGAGCCATTTTCTTAGGTGAGAGCCCACAAGGAAAGAAGTACTATTTGTTCACTTGATCTTGATGAATCGAAAGTCAAAAAGTTCAATGATGCAATTTAGACCAACTATTAGTTTCACATTCTGATACATGTTCCTAGCGAAATGCTATGAAGTTTCGCAACAGCGCCTCTAATATATTTATAGGCACTGTTTTAAGTCGTCAATTGCAGCATTTGTAAAATAATTATGGAGCACCAAGGAACTCCTAATCAAGTCCAGATATGTAAATAACTCATTGCGACACATAAAACTGCATTCAGTTATTAGAAGAAAATTTATAAATCCATACATGATATGCACAGCCATTTAAGATATACTGACAATGCATTATGTTGTATTCAATATTGTTTTTGCCAATTAAAATACATAAATTTCATTCCACAAACGAAAGGTCATCCTTTTGCAATAAGTATATAACTCTAATTATTCATTCTGCAATATTTTTATTCTTATTTTTTGGTTTTCTATTCATTCTGGTATATTTTAGGAGCGAATACATGTGCTTGGATAATATAAAAATATATCTTTCATTTTGATTGTATAAATATTTTTTTTAATTTTGGTTGTATTAAAAAATAAACTCAAATGTCATGGTGTTAATTAGTGAAGCTCAAGCTCAAGCTCCGGCTTTATTCGGTAAAACTCCAATTATTTATTAAATAAATGTTAGAAATTTATTTCTAATTGGGCTTATTGATTGCATTTATTTGTTTTATAAAATATTTGGGTTAAACTTAATAGTCCAAAATATTTAATTTAAAGCCCATTATGAACGAGCAATCATTAAAACAATTAATGAGCTAGTTAAATGTGTTTGGTTTAAGTGTGGTTAAATCCTAATTTGAATTAGGATTGTTTATACTATAAGGGTTATGATGGGAGACCCTAATAGTTTCCTATATGTAGACTATATTATCTCTTTCTAGTTTACACTATCAAGATAATAAATTATTCTCCACCAATAATAAGCCTATATCATAGAGAGGATACAGTTAGCCATTACACAGACAATTGTGCATGACTATTTTAATTTCTTCCCACCTTTCCACTTATTGTTAGGGATCAACATTGCATCAATGGAAGCCAACAAAATAACTTGTAAGTTATATTATTATTTTATGTGATTTTAATTTATATATGAGTGTCTTGAATATTCAAATCTAACATGTGGTATTAGAGCCTACTTCAGATTTGCTTGGACATCTTTAGGGTGAATCCCGTAAGATTCCCTTTATATATCTTAGATAGAGTGTTCCTTAAATTTTTTCTTAAAATATTTAATCCCTTAAAAAATATATATTTGTTCTCACGTATGAATTGGACCAAGTCCATTAATCTAATATATAATTTAATGAATTTTTTTTGGATGTTAGATGAGAAGGAAATTAGCTAAACAATTGTTTTTCCTAAAATCCTAATAGTTTAACTTTTTTTTTTTCATTGTGTGCACATGTATTTGAAGCTTGTACTAGTTATACAAATAGATAGATTATGCTCACAACAATTATCTATTTGCATGTGCATGTCCATACTTGTATGTACGCTATTGATAATTGTATGTGATTAAAAAAAAAGGGCCAATTGTTCCTTTTGCTGTATCAAAGAAAATATCATTAGCTTGGGGAAAACTTAGTATCTTATATTATAATATTATGTGTGAATTAATTTTGGAGACAAACAAAGTTGTAATAGAAATTATTTTGACTTTGCCAATGGTCATAATGCTTATTTATTATTAAATTTATCCATTATTGATATTTCATGATAAAAGAATAATTATTAGTTATCTTTGCTGGATAATTAATTTGTAAAAGGAATAATAAATTAATTTTATAATTTATTTTTAAATTTCCAATTCAATTGTCTTTTATCAAATGAAATATGTACACATACATGTAAGAATGATAATATTCATGGTGTCTATATTTCTTTATTTTGAATACGACCTGAATTAAATATGAACAGTCATTTTTGTCCATTGACATTAGTAATAGAGATTTATATGCTATTAAGTATATATCATTGAAGCCATGCATGTATAATTAAATTATAAATCAAGTAAGTTTTGATGATTAATATGGTGTCATAGTTATCTAATTTTATTTGAACTATATTTAATTTAGCTTCGTGTTATATTATTATTTTGAATGTGACATGATAAAATATATAAGGTCAAGAATTTCTTAGACTTGTCAAATTATATTAATTGTCTTATAGTACCCCACTCATGATACATTATATTTATATGAATTAAGTATGCATTCATGGATTGAAGTAAATTAGTGGTGCTAATTTATGGTTCTTGACTTTTGATTATTGTCTAAGTTTTTCCTTTTTCTTTCATTTTGGAGAAGAAATTTAATAATTGATTTATAAATTATCTCATGATGAGATAATTACATTACTACACATCTAAATATTTATTTACTAATGATCAAAAGATGTAATATGTGCACACCAAGGCATAGCTTAGTGGCAAGTGTATTACGATTTGACAATAAATTCAGATTCAAATTCCCTTGCCCAATACTAAAAAAAAAAAAAAAAAAAAAAAACATTCCCTTTGCCCAATACTAAAAAAAAAAAAAAAAAAAAAAAAAATTTGTAATATGCAGTAGCATATATTTTGGATATTCTATTTCTCTAGAGTAATTTTCAGTCAATAAAGGTTAATTACTAAGATCATTTATCATTATTAATACTGAGTAAAAAAAAAAAAAAAAAAAAAATTGTAATATGCAGTAGCATATATTGGATATTTATTTCTCTAGAAGTAATTTCAGTCAATAAAGGTAATACTAAGATATTTATCATTATAATACTTGAGTTTACTTTTATATTTTTCGAAAGAGATTTTCAAGTGTAGGTCAATGGCTATAACCATGCAAGGTTTAAAGTTAAGATCATGTGAGATTATAAAATGGTGATTATATGATTTTGCCTGGAATTTTATGGCAAAGAAACCCGTAAATTTCTCATTATTTTTCTGATTATTGGTAGTATGCATGTATGTGTATTTCATAGTTATGCATTAATGTTATAACTAATAACATGAGAAGTGTTATAGTAATTAGCATAAGTAAATAGTACACTAGGCATGACATTGTTAAATATACTTAATACGTTATTAAAAATTTAATGACAATGTTTCATGACACTAATACTTAAGGCATGAAATCACAATGATTATTAAATTTTATGAGTATTAACGTAGGATCTCATATAAGAGTTTATGAATTAATATAAAGGATTGTCACCAAAGTTAATCTTTTGTAGAAATTTATAAATTCTTGTTTACATGATGTATATGAGATGAAATTATCGAAATTATTATGTATAGTAATTTACCCAAAGGAAATTATTATATGTAATAATTTTGAATTAATGAATTTTTGTATTAGAGTAGAGACATAAGTTGAGAATTTATTTGCCCAAAGGGGATAGATTTTCTTTTCTTGTGAATCTATGTTCTTGTATTATTTGTAATATTGGAGAATCTTATTTGTATATTATATTATCTACCCAAAGGAGATTTTATAATGTACGTTTGGAATCTCATTGGAATAAAATTAAATATTCAAAACTCATATTTTTTGCTCATAATATTCTTATTTGTATGATTATTGATTTAATAATCTTGTGTATTGCTTATGTCACGACCTGTTATCTTGAGCCAGGATTGGCACTAGGACCTGGGTAGGTTTAAAGCCACCAAAGCCCGTAGTAAGTCAAATATATACAAATAAACTTTCTGTTCAATAAAAATGGTCTTAAACCCAATTTTATCACCATTCAAATATCATAAATTAATTTAGAATAGTTCTTTAGGCCCGTATCAATATACTACATGATAGAAAATTTAATAAGTAATATATCAATAATTTTTAAATTTATTATACATAACTATCGTAATTGCGGAACAATCTAATAATTTAAAAATTTCCCTTCAATACACTAAACAAAATTAATCATTGTTTCGTTTTCAACATTTCCTCTACTTGTCGAGGGGCAAAGAGTCATGAGATACTGAAAGACTTGTAACCTAGAAAAAATATTAAGACAGGGATGAGTGCCTAAACTTAGTGAGTAGGTTGGTTAACCCTCTCACCTCACACAATCACACAAATGCATAAATAAATCATTCTATTCATCCGACTAGTTATATGATCATGCAGTCGATCACACAAATGACATAACAGCGACAATCACAAATATTAACATCTTCACATAATCACATCACATGGAAATTGGTCAGCGACATCACCAAAACCCCCGACGTGCTGATCCCCCATACATAGCCGATCGGTATCAACCTCACTTGACCAACCCTCTCATTTTTTTATACTCTCTTTTCTTTTCCATACCATATTTAATCAGATGCACACGGGGTCGCCGATCTCCCCATAGGTATCATGGACTGCCCTCAAAAACCCAACGGTGACCCACTTCATTCCAATTTCACACAAGCAAAGCATACACGGAGCACATCACAACTAGTCAAACCATTTCCAATAGCAATGAATAATGCAACACAAAATAACAATTTACAAAATAATGCATGAATGATATGATTGTCATGACGAAGACACTAGAAGAGCATCCAGCAGCCTTGGAAAAGTTCATGGACAGAGTGATTAAATACAAGCTGTGGTTGAACCTAAAGGAATGTGTGTTTAGGGTGACTTCCAAGAAAGTGCTAGGATTCATAGTAGGACCTAAGAGAATAGAGATTGATCTAGACAAGATTAAGGCGATCCAAGAAATGGAGCCGCCTAAGAGGGAAAAGCAAGTGAGAAGCTTTTTGGGAAAGATTCAATATATCAGCGGGTTCATTTCGAAGTTGTCTATAGTATGTGATCCGATTTTCAAACTTTTAAGAAAATATCAGCCTGTAAAGTGGAACGATCACTGCTAGATAACTTTCGACAAAATCAAGGAATATTTGTCAAGTCCCCCAGTTTTGTGCACACCAAAGCAAGGGAAATCCTTAATTCTATACTTTACAATGGAAGATGCTAGAATTGGAGCCATGTTAGCATAAGCTGATGAAGCCAGTATTGAGAGTGCAGCATATTACTTGACCAAAAAGCTTCTTCCAAATGAACAGAAATATAACTCGATTAAAAGAACTCGCTTAGTAATGGTATGGGCTACCAAAAAACTGTGACACTATTTTCAGTC